AAAGAGGGCGTCTAGCAAATGCTGGGGCATTCGTGAGGTTGCCCGATAAGTCACGATCCTTCTAGAAACTCCAGCGTGCATGCTCCCAGTGTCGCGTGACTTCCGTTGTCGTAACACTACAACAGCTTAGAGATCATGGCAAGAATACTGAACAGCTACAGTAGCAATAATTAGATGAAAAATAAATTAATAGTGACAGTTTTGAATTAATAAATAACTTTAAGCCTATATAAACCTAACCCTTAACTTCATTATTTAATAGGTTATGACTTATTATGTGCAGACAGCTTCAATGAGTATTTTCAGTACACAAGTTTTGAATGCTGATACCTAATATTGCTCAATGAATTCTTAGAGAGAAATCAGTAATGAAGAAATTTTTGCTTCTTTTTCTATCACAAAAGCTATAAACATAATATGCTATTTGCACACTTTACACCACAGAAAATCAAACCCCAAATTGTAGCATTGCAAGTTCATAAACTTACTCCTGACCCATTGGGGGATAATGAAAATAAAATAATAAAATTCAGTTTTTCATAGTGTGGTAGTTGTGGGCTAGTACAACAATGAAAATTGAGTTTGCAGTTTTAATTTCTAATTTAGAGTATGAATAGAAAACATCAGAGCAACTTGGTTTGGTATTAATTTTTAATTTGTAAGTAATTTAAAACACAGTAAATAACATAAATATAATCTTAAATTACATTATTTGTAAAGATCAGTATTTTGTAAAACTATTGTGCAAATTTGACAACTACAAACTATTAAATGATAAGTGGTATTTTTTAATCAATAAAAGCATAGTTAAAATAGTTAAATAATTAAAATTGTATTTACCACTTAACTAATTAAATACATTTTCATATCCCTCTATCATGGAACTTTAAAAGAGAAACTAAAGATAGAAGTAGATAATGCTATTGCTATTTGCATAATCTAAAATGAAGGGGTCCTACAATTTTATATATCTTTTGATTAGTCTAGCCCAATCAGAACTACTTTTCAAAAACTAATGTTTAAATATTGATTTTATGAAGTTCTCCAAAGTTGCTAATATCTTAATGCTTCAGTAATACCTATTCAAAGGAAAGAGTTTTATAATCCATCTGCTTTTTATCTCTTGTTTTTTGTATGCTTCTTTTCTAATATTAGACTTACCTGTTCTTACTATATTTAGTCCTGTTCAGTTAGAAAAATTAAAATGTTTAGTCTTAGTTATAAATTTTAAATCGGAAATGTAATTCAGCATCTATTTCCTGTTTAAAGGTCAAACCTACTTTCAACTTTTTTTTCAGCAACTGTTTTACTGTAAAGAAACATAAAAACTATATGTATGACTATGTTTAGTAATTAAAGCATTAAAAATTATTAGATTGTTGTTGTTTTTCAAGAGTTAGAGCTGATACTTAAATATATTTGTTTGTAGCTTGGAGTGGTTTACTTGGAACAGAGGAAAGCTACTCAAGCAATGGTATACTTTAATAAAGCACTTGAAATTGATCCAAACCATGAGGTAATATGTTATGTAGGTTATTCTTTCATAGTTGAGAACAAGGTACATGTGTACTCTGTATCTGAAGGATAAAATTTATAATTACCATGCTGTTTTTATTCAAGTATATGTCAAATATAATTTAATAAACCTGTGAATATGCATTTGAGTGAAACATTGGATTTCTAACCAAATTTGGTTCTTTTATTGAGAATTAGACAATATTTCAACAAGTATTTTTTATTATTTTTTTAAGTGTTTTGACCAGCTTTGAAAATTGATTTGTTACATTACTTTATTTGAGTTTATTGTGCAGGGTGTCAGTTACCCAAAACATTGGGAGGTAGGCTGAAAAATGATATTTATTGCTGAAATTGTTATACACATGCATTTTCTGTAATATAGGTTACATACAGCTGTGCATGCATAAACGTTCCATGTGTTTGTACAAAGTAAGTGTTAGGTTATGCAGTAAGAGCAAACACTATAGTGTAGTTTAGAATATCATTCTACCTATGTTTCTATGTACAGTACACAAACAATATTGATAGAAGACATAATACAGTATCTATAGAAGACATATTACAATATGTATAGTAATTGTACATACAGCATTTACATTGTACAGTGAAGACATTATACAAGGGACAAGTGAACAACTGACTTTGTCGACAATTAACATACAGCAAAGTGATTTCAGAAATGATCATCAATAAAATGTAAAGCCCAGGTGGTTAGGGCACTCGACTCTCAATCTGCTGGTCGCAGGTTCGAATCCCCGTCCCACCAAACATGCTCGCCCTTTCAGCTGTGGGGGCTTTATAATGTGATGGTCAATCCCACTATTCGTTGGTAAAAGAGTAGCCCAAGAGTTGGCGGTGGGTGGTGATGACTAGCTGCCTTCCCTCTAGTCTTACACTGCTAAATTAGGGACGGCTAGCACAGATAGCCCTCGTGTAGCTTTGCGCGAAATTCAAAAACAAACAATAAAATGTAACTTCACTCTTTCTGACTCAACCAACAGCACCATCATATCAGTAAGACATTGCTCTGCCATGATGTTACAGAGATTGCTCTTGACAAGCTTTAACACAGAGAAGGGATACTTGTAAGAACAAGATGCAACTGGGAGAGTTAGTTTCAAGTGATAAAAAAAGACTGAAAATTTGAATACATCTCTGTGAGTCACTCTTTTATCATATGCAAGTAAATCTGATGAAAGTCTTTCAGTTTGAACAACTAATGCAACTGATCAAGCAAACAGCTTGTATTCATAAACCTGGAATTTACAGTCGACACATCTACACAGACTTGCAACATCGAGATTTTATATTCACTTGGAGACAATAAATAATTGGTGGAAATCCAAAGTGGCAACATTTTCTAAAAAATCTAATTCTTACAGTATTCAGTAAGGCTTGAGTTTTAAAATTTAGGGCTAATATAGATGTGAGTTTACTAAAACTTGGAACCAGAATCAGATCTGGAATGGCACATTAAAATGCAGAACAGCACATAACACATTATATCCACCCAATTAAAGATTCTAATTAATGGTAACTGATGTATGAATATGTTTACACAAAAGTCTTAATGTCACACAACAGTCAATAAACACCATAAACATCATTAGCTAAATTCTCAAAAGCTCAGAACAGGTGCATTTACCCCAAACAACCTATAAAACTCTCAAAACAGGCTTTAAACATTATTTTTTACATATAGGCAGCTAGTAAACTCAGCTGTATGAAAGACAACAAAGTGATAAGTTGAACCTCTATATAATAAAAGTTCTTTTCCAGATGACTGCATTAATTCTGAGCTAGTTAAGAAAACATTGGGAAGTCTGAAAAACGATAAAGCTTCTGGGTCAGATAATATTGCCCCAAGGGCTTTGAAGGAGGTTAAAGATTGGATATGAGAGCCACTTATTACTATTTTTTGTCAGTCCTTGAATAGTGAGCAGGTACTAGAGGATTGGAAGTTAGCTAATGTAAGTCCTCTTTTCAAGTGAGGCGATAAAAATTGTCCCAGTAATTATAGACCCATTAGTCTTACATCAGTTGTGGGAAAAATTTTGGAAAGTCTGATTAAAGCTGCTTTGCAAAGTCATTTAAGAAAGTTTAGAACCTTACTGAATAGTCAACATGGTTTCACTAAGTGAAAATCTTGCCTTAGTAATCTTTTGACATTTTTTGAAAAGAATACTGCTTATGTAGATGAGGGTAAGGATGTAGATTTGGTATCAGGATTTTCATAAAGCATTTGATAAGATGCTACATAAAAGGCTTGTAAAATACCTCTATAGGTGTGGGGGATAAGTTAGCAAATTGGATAGAAGAGTGACTGGATGGAAGAAAGCAGAGGGTTGTTACAAATGAAGTTCAGTCGAACTGGATTAATGTCACAAGTGGGGTACCTCAGAGTTCAATCTTAGGACCTTTGCTCTTTTTGATTTACATCAATGACATAGATGAAGGGATAGTCAATAAATTACTTAAATTTGCAGATGATATTGAGGTCTTGGATGTTGCTAGCTGTGAAGACGATGCTGCTGATTTTCAAAAGGATTTAGATCATTTAATGAGTTGGGTAAATAAATGGCTGATGGGTTTCAGGTATAATAAATGCAAGATAATGCATGTGGGTTATCATAATTTGAATTATAAGTATTATTTGGATGGAAATAACCTTAATAGTGTTATGAGAGGAAAGGGATCTTAGTGTAATAGTCCATTAGTCTCTAAAACCATCCAAGCAGTGTGATGTTGCTTGTGGTAGGGCAAATAGGATTTTAGGTTGTGTCTACAGAAACATTGAATACAAGTCGAAAGAGGTTATAATTTCGTTGTACAGGTCACTGGTTAGGCAACATTTGGAATATTGTGTTCAGTCTTAGGCTCCTTACCTTAGGAAAGACACTGAATTGTTGGAAAGGGTTCAGAGAAGGTTTACTATAATGGTGCATGGAATGGAGGGGTTTTCATATGAGAAGAGGCTGAAATCTCGGAAATTGTTTTCTCTTGAAAAAAGAAGGGTAAAGGGGGATCTGATTGAGGTTTTTAAGATTGTAAAGGGAATTGATAGTGTTGATGCATCATCTTTTTTCATATTTAACAGTCAGAATAGTATGACTAGGGACACAAATATAAATTCTGGCAAGGTAGGAGACATCTTCAGCTAAGACATTTTTGTTTTTCTAACAGAGTGGTTGGCCTTTGGAATGGGTTGCCTTCACATGTTGTAGAGGCAGTAAATTTAAGTGAGTTTAAGAGAAAGCTTGATAAGTATATGAATGATGGCTTTATTTATATTTTTTTAATTAATTTAGTTTAGAGGATGGAATAGCCAAGATGGATCAATAGGTCCCATGTTATCCCAAAACATTATGTTATGTTATGTTATTTTCATCTGTCAATGTTTTTATGAACATATTAAATGTCCCAATTAGTCAATGGACCAAGAAAAATATATTTTATATGTACTTTTCTATCTGAATGAGAATGCAGCATCAATAAGATGCAGTGGAAAAAGTATTTAACTTGTATTTAAATATCTGTTTGGACAAATAGTTTGTTCTGAGCACAATAACATAATCTGGATCTATCCAACTATCTTTCAAAAACTTACTTACTTGAACTATATTTTGTATGTGTATTTATATATTGCCTGACTGAGGCCTAGAACTTTCCACACACTATGAGATATTGTGATGCAATAATACAGGAGAAAAACTTAGAAGGTTCTAGTAACATGACACAATAACACAACAAGCACCAATTCATAACAATCATGATTCGCATAGTTATGTAAACAATCTTGATAAACTATCGCTTCTAAAAATAACTAAATTAAACGCTCTCACTATACTTAAACTAAATCATAACACTTACATTAAAATATAAACAGTTGTGTATATCTAACACTTACACAGTAGGAAATTTAGCAGTCATCCTATGAATTTTACAAAGCAATGAGACATTTTACTGTATTTACTGGTCTGGTGAGAATGGCTCATCAGTGTTAGGTAGTTGCGATTCCAATCAAATGATCCTTTCTGAAGTGCTAAAATCTCCCAACAGTTCATTGAAATGATAAGTAGAGCACTCTTGCATACCTTGGCCACACATTATTGTCTAACCTTTGATGTTGACAAATCACAAGCTTCATTTGTTAATATGCTGTTGTCAGTGCAAAATTCCAAGTTTGTTGCTATATCACTGGTCCTAGTTTGATTGTGTGCTATATCACTAGCAAAAACTTTTCCATCCTACCATGCACTGAGCATAACATATTATTAATGTGCAGTGCTATCCTGATAATTGGTCGAAAAGTTTTACCTTTTGGATCACATAGCTGTTTCACCTCTGAAATTGATTGAATATTGTTCCCATGTGAGTGGTTGCTACTAACTGCATGCGCATCTGGTTAGCTGAAAGTTTGCTGGACTCAGCCACACCACAATCATTAAACACATATTATTCAATTAATCACATTTTCAAAGTTGGACAATGATTGGCATCTTTTCTCACAAGCTGGCTGTTGAATATTTTCCTACATTTTCTTTCAGAATAAAATTTCCATTTATGTACTGGATGTTATTAATGTAGCATACTTTGATTATTTTATATCATACTGACTTTTTATTACGCAAAATATACTGTGTTCTTTTAAAACAATAAATGTTTCTGTTTGTCAGAATATTATAAGTACTTGGAAAGTCTAAGAATTTGTGGACAATGTTTCTTTCCAGCAAGCCCTTATGAATTCAGCAGTGTTAATACAAGAAAGTGGGAACAACAAACTAAGGCATGTTGCTTATGAAAGGTTAGCAAACCAGAAAGTAATTGTAAAGTTAAAAAAAACTACATCTAAAATCTGTATATAGTGAAACTTAAGATCCTTTACTCCTGTTTATGGATATGGTTCACTTGTTAAAAACTACATGTAAAGAAATGTTTTAGAAGTTAATATTGTAGCTTAGATTACAACATTTATGAAAAACAAAAGAATAAGGTGAAAGTTTACTCCACTTTTAGAATGTTTGAACACAGTATGTTATCTTAGATTACATGTAAAGTCTGTGGGGGAAAGAATAAAGAAAGGAATTATTTCAACTTTGAATTGTTTCAAAAGATATTGTTATTTTAGGTTACAACATATGTTAAAGAAAGGAATGAATGATGAGATACAAATGGTTAATTTCACTTAACAATAATATTATTCCAGGTCTCTTGCTGTTTTTGAAGATACTTTTGCCATTGTTGATTATGCGTAACGTAATGATGATGACTATGCTCTAATGCCTGTCACTTCACTTTTTATTGTAATAAGCTTCTACAAAAGAAGGCAAAGTTAATTTTATACTATGCATCTTGACATGCTTTCTGCAGATTATTTACTGTATGTTAGTATTGACTTCCAAGATCTTAGCCACATGTAATGGAATTCTATGGATGCACAATCAGCTGACTTAACAGGCACAATGGAGTAAATGATAGCATGAATATGGGTTTCTTTATCCTTGGTTCACAGAATTTGCTGGTATGAAGACTTGGTGCAATTTTTCTTTCTCTGACCAACATAAATCTGCCATTTCACTAACATATAGAGAGAGCAGCTATTGCAGTTGTTATCTTTGCTTCTTGGGCAAGATATTTCTGAATTATTCTGATTGGGATACATGTAGCTTATTAGGAATCATGTTTTAGGTGAAGAGGTTTCCTCTGAGCAGTCTACGAATTTTTACAATGAAAATGGCAGTTCTATGTGTGGTATGAGGGGTTCTAAGTTTTACATTTTTATATGGTTGTGCTATACGTCTCTGAGATTTCTCTCTGTGAATATCTTCCTTCAGATTAGGCACTGATTGTATCTCCAACATGAACCAATTATAAGCAGTTCATCTGTGGCACTGTCACGGTATTTGTGTTGAAATGCCACTGTATTACCATATGTGAATTATTCTTGTAAGAGTCATTAAACCAGTGTAGTGCACTTCAACCTTGGGATGTTTTAACATTTAATGTTGTTTTAAGTTACAACATGTGTTAGAGAAAGGAATGAGTGATGAGATATAGATAGATCACTTCAACCTTGGAATGTTCTAACAGTTAATAGTGCTCTAGGTTATAACATCTGGTAGAGAAAGGAATGAGTGATGAGATATAGATAGAGTACTACAACTTTGGAATGTTTCAACAGTTGATGTTATTTTTGGTTTCAACATCTATTAGAGAAAGAACTGAGTGATGAGGTATAGATATTGTACTTCAACCATGAGATGTTTTAACAGTTAATATTGTTCTAGATTAAAATATCTGTTAGAGAAAGGACTGAGTGACGAGATATAGATAGAACACTTCAACCTTGGAATATGTTAACAGTTAATGGTGTTCTAGATTACAACATCTGTTAAAGAAATAAATGAGTAGTGAGACATAGATTATGTACTTCAACTATAGATTGTTTAAACAGTGTTGTTTTAGGTTACAACATCTATTAGAGAAAGTAATGAGTGATGAGATATAGATTATGTACTTCATTCTTGAAATGTTGTAATAGTTATTGGTATTGTAGATTACAACATCTGTTAGAGAAAGGAAAGAGTAATGAAAGAGTTTACTTCAACCTTGGAATGCTAGCAATGGATGAAAAACATGTACCTGAGGCAGAAACATGGTTTAAGAATGCTATTCAGGTAGGACACGGATCCCTTACTACTACTTTTTGAAAATGGCTTCTTCTTCAAATGTAATGTAGTAGAAATTTGTCAACATGGTTTTTTATGTCTTTTACAATTAAACATCAGGATAGTAACTATGGGGTTTTTGAAGTTAATTCTTAACTACTAGGTATTTTGAAATAATTTGCAAGTAAATTTAAATTGATAAAATTGTTCTGGCTTGCAAAAGTTTAGAAAGAAACCACTAGAGTTTTGTATGGTGCTTGTTCTTATATTCTGTGTAATTTTAAGTACGGTAGTACTTAATAATGATAGTAAGGATTGACAAGGATTCCAAATAATTCACACGCTGAAAAAACACCCTTTCAAATTCCTAAGCAAAAAATTGCCCATTCAAAAAATTGGTTACGATATATTATACGCATATATATATATTCTAGTAATATGCTAAAAAAGGTCGCTAGTATTTCTGGTATAACAACTCAAAAATTCCTAAAACATCAACTTTTTTGTCAACTACCTACCTACCTGATCATGTCAGCAGGGCTAGTGCCTAGACAGCTTGGACTATCACTACAAGAATTCTCCAGCTTACTTGACTGGTCTGTGGGTATCAGTTTTTGATATTTCAATAAAAATCCACATGTGTGTGTATATATCATGCACATACTAAATACCTTTTCAATTCAACCTAACGAATGGTGCTACATGTCGATGGCCAGACACGCGACAGTTTCTAAAGGTAAAGTATATAAAATGTACAGGTATAACATAAAAGTAAACAAACAAGAGAATTGAAACATTATGAATTTTAAAATGAAGTAGAAATTCTGCTATAAAAAGTAATGAAAGAAGAATTAAAACCACAATCACAAATTTATAAAATTTAATTCCTACTTTGGTAGCTTTATACACTTATCTGTAGGCCATAGTAAGAAATACATTTTATAAATTTGTGATTATAGTTTTAATTCTTGTAAAACTTACAGCTTTCAAGGATATCGCTATACAGAAAGTTTATAGATGTGTCCATTCCATGGATATATAAAAACTGAACAAATAAATAGGAAAAAGAAATTTACATTTTAATGGAAAGTAGGGATTGTCGGTTATTCATATAACTACTACAAGAAGTATCCAAAACAAAATAAATGCTGCAATAAAAATTACACAAACAAGTAAATTGATACTAGTTGGCTAGATTTTAAATTTATCAACCAAAGTAGGGATAGAAAATCGTTTTTATGCCCCAAAACAAGATGGAATTTACAGTACCTAAGATGGATAAGAGTACACTGTTTTATTGCAATTATCAAATTTATAGTCTCTAAAGTATATTTTCTGTCAATCTGGAATATATTCTGATTTTATGTATGTTTCTTTTGAACAATTAAATTACAAAATGTACCATATTAATTGAACAAAGCTAATGTTTCTGCTATAATGTATTATTACTACAGTACTCTTACATTAGTCTATATAGATAAGTTTTCTACCAAATAAATTCAAACTGTACTACTCTGAAACACACCCACTGTTTTCTGCCAAATACAATCAAACTATAGATGCTACCATTGCTTCCAGATGACATCACTCTTTTTGCCAAGTTTAAATAACTAGAAATTATTGCTTCCATACAATATCCATTTTCTTCTGCCAAGTAAAATCGAACTCTAGACACTACCATGCTTCCAGACAACATGCACTCTTTTCAGCCAAATAAAATCCAGCTGTTGACATTAACACTTCCAGATGACATCACTCTTTCTGCCAAGAATAATTATACTAGACATTACCACTGCAGTACAACATTCACTCTTTTCTGGCAAGTAAAATCAAACTGTAGACACTACCATTTCAAGATGTCGCTCACTCTTCTTAGTCGGTCACATGAATTCGAAAAAAGGGTGTTATTTTGGATTTCGATGAACCTTTCGGTTTAGCTTTTTTCATTGCTTACAGAATGCTAGAAAATGTGTCTCTTGTGCATTTCTGCCTGCTGCCAGGTCAGCAATTGTTGTAAAACAGGCAAAACTGTATTATCTTTGAAACCACTAAATCCATAAATTTTGTCAAATTGAAATAAAAATAATTGTCAGAACTTATACATTGTGTTTCCCAATTTTATGCCCTAGTTAAATTTACTACTAAATAAAACCTTCCATAATTTTACCCTAAACACCAAACATTGCATCAATAATTTCTTAAAACTAGCAGTGGCTATCTCTTGAAAAAAGGTATTTATAGTGTGAATGGTGCCCCAGCATCATATGGTCAAATAAGTAAAAAGAAATCAAAAAATGCTACAGGAAAATTGGGCCCGGCATGGGCAGGTGGTTAGGATGCTCGACTCGCAATCTGTGGATCATGGGTTCGAATCCCTGTAACATCAAACATGCTCGCCCTTTCAGCCATGGGGGGTGTTATAATGTGACAGTCAATCCCACTATTCATTGGTAAAAGAGTAGCCCAAGAGTTGGCGGTGGGTGGTGATGACTAGCTGCCTTCCCTCTTGTCTTACACTGCTAAATTAGAGACAGCTAGTGCAGATAACCCTCTTGTAGCATTGCGCGAAATACGTAACAAACAAACAAACAGGAAAATAGGTTAAGGCATTCCTGCAGAGGCGTCGCTAGGCACTGGCACATATAGCCCGTGCCCAGATTCTATTTGACAGTGTCTTGAAGAATCAGAATAGAAAATCTTACAGAAACGCAGAAAATTACTGCGCCTATGGGCCTGAGCTTCGGATCTTTTGAGCACCTAGTGACGCCTCTGTAATCTCGAAATGTTAAGATACAGATAAACTAATGAACACGTGGAAAAAGTGGGCATCTCGCCAGAATAAAAAGTATGAAAGACATTGCAGGCATAAAAATATATCAAACACACACACACACACACACACACAAAAAGGTTTGAACAAAATTGAACCAGTTGTTAGAGAAAGTTGCCATTACCAAGTCAAGCTGTTAAAACTGCTTCACACAACTAGCAAGCGTTAGATAAAATTTAGAAAAAAAACGGTCGTAAAAAAGGCAAACTAGAGACAAGGAAGAGTTAATGTGGAAATAACATAGAGAGATACAAACAGAAATAGAGGATGTTTTTTTGTCATTTCACTTAATAAATTCAGTATTACTGTTGCAAATAAATTATTACATCGGATACAATCACCTCCTATATGTAAATGTGTATAAGAGGTGACATTAAAGGAACACAAGCACAGCATATATCAGAATAACAATGCATAGAAATATATCATCGCACAGAAAATTGAAGTATGGGGTAACTACAAATCTGATCAAATTTTTACCTGTTTAGCTAAAGTTGCTGACCTAGAAACAGGTAGAAATGAAAAGTTGACACATTTTTAAACATTTTTGGACCAAGAAAGTGAACTAAAGGGGGGGGGGGGATCAATACATTCAAAATTTTAAAGGCTCATGTGAGGGACTGTTCCTGCCTAGCAAAATAAAATTAGATATTACCACTTGCAGATGATTCATAACCCATTTTACTGCTAAGTAAAATCATTATCTAGAAACATAATAAAGCTTCTACCTTTTTGAATTTCAGATACGAGAAGATTTCCGCAGTGCTCTCTTCAATCTTGCATTACTGTTATCAGATTCACAACGTCCACTTGAAGCTGTGCCTTTTCTTAAACAATTATTGAAGGTTTGAAGTTTTTGTTGATATGAGATAATAAGTTATAAACTTTCTAAAGATTTAAATATGAGAAACAGGCAATTAGCAACTCAATAAAAGACTCGTGCTACACATAAGTACAAGCTTCAATGGGCATTATATTTTAAAGCTAGAAAAAGCAAAAAACATTTACTCTCCACATAATAATAGAAAAGTATTTTACCCAAAATTTTGTCACTGGGACTTCATCAGGGCTAGTAGTAAGAACTATTATCTGGAGATTAAAAATCTTTTGTTTCCAACTTTATTGCCAAAATGTCTAAATCTATTCAATCTGCACTACAAATTCTGAAAAACAAATTTGTTAAAGCTGATTTCTTGAATTGTATGAAGAATGGATATTTATGTTTAATACATTAAAAGATATGTTTTTAGTTAATACTTGAAAAAAATGCTTTATGATTATAACTAACTTTTGGTGAATGAAAAAACTATGGTTAGTGACTTTTAGATCTAAAACATCACTACATCTACATATATTATGGTACATTGCTTTTTAGAGAAGTCTTTTTCATTTCTTTCTGTTCCCGTTAAAAAGTATTACCATAATCTTAGCCCAGGTGCAATGCTGTTAAGATCTACTGTGTAAATGTTTGTACAGAAATAGAAACTTTTATAAATAATGATTTACTGATATTTGTACATCCATCCTTTAAATATATCACATTGTTAGGTGGCAGCAAGGGACTAATTTTTCATCTACAATGTGATTCAACATAAACTTTAGAAAACATTATAGAATCTTCAGAACTAACTGATTGATGAACCCATTTTGATAACAAGTTTACAAAACTTACCTGTAACTGACGTTTACATTCACTAAACAGTTTTGTACATATTGGAATGGTATGTCTGTTATCATGTTAAGTTTCAGCTGAGATTCTCATGTATAATTTAACTCATAATTTTTCCTGTCAGTAAATCTGAGACATATGTGGTTTCAAAGAGTTGTATAATATTATTCATTACATTATTGTAAAAATATGCCTATCTGGTATTATTTCACAAAAGTCAGCATGTTAACAAACAGCCGTAGAAGATGGATACACATATCTATGTACATTTACATTTTGTTTTTATAATTGTATTACAGATGTCTTAAAAAGACAATATAATAATCATGGAAAAGAGAAAACGTATATAGTAACTGTGTTTACTTAATACATTTTTTGATGCATTAGCTTAACTTGAACAGAAAGTTTATCATACCATACAAATGCTCTGTAACAACATATTTTTGTTGATCAAAAACTGAAGCTTGTATTTACTCTAGCACCATCCTGATCATGTGAAGGGACTAATCCTACTAGGAGATATTTACATCAACCATATGAAAGACTTGGAAGCAGCAGAGAAAGTATTGAGTTTATATTCTTTATTGTTGTTGTTCTGTTTGTTAATGTTTTTTCTTTGAGATGATATTTAGCTTTTAAAATAATTTTCTTTTCCAAATTGTAGTAGTATATTTGGCATCAGCAGCTTCTTCATGTTAAACAACTGTTTTATTTTTTGTGCTGTCTTTAAGTTTGGGTAAAATAATTGAAATTGAATCACTATCAAAATGGCTGAAAGTTCTAGGGCATTTGCTATACTGAACTTACTGTAAAACATGATTTATTTTAAAAATGAATAATTTGATGAGTAACTTTTATTATGTTGATACATATATATTTTTTACCATATTTCATTTTAATTGACAGTAGTAATTACAATTAGAATGAAAAACACTTTGAAAAACAATTACTCATATACAATCTATGATGATTTGTACTTTACTATTATGAAATAAAGAATATTTAAATGCTTAGAGAAGTCATATATTTTCCTACCCAAAATCAAGGTTTAACAGTATTCATCTTTTAGACTAGTTTTTGTTTTTGTAGGAAATTGATATTTTAAATGTTTTATAATTAGGTGTTTGTTCTTTAATTGCTGGATGTTCCAAATAAATTTTTCTGCTTAAGTTTATTCCTTTTCACCATCATAACTAAAACAATAAATTATATATAGGTTAAAAATATATACATAATTTTCACAAACTTAGAAACAGAACTGGATTGGCAAACAAATTTGTTATTTTCTCATACTTGTATTCTTATTTTTGATACTAGAATTTAATTTATTGTTTACTGTAATTATACAAAATGTTTTAACTCATTTTAATAAGTGTTTATTTAATTTTGTGAGTTTATAACTATCATAAATCTTCTTTCATCTGTTTTGTGTTATTTCAAATTTAAATGTTAAAATAAGATGTGGAATATGTGCTAGTAACAACCATGTTTAATAATTTACCATGTTTTTGCTTACATGATCCAACTGCAGGGTTGTATTGTAGCATACCATATTTTAATGATGGCTGAGCAGGGCTACATGTTTTCGTATTTTCAGTCATTCCAGTTTAATAAAATATATGCTTGCAACTTATATCAAATAGACCAAGTTCCTAAAAGCCTTTGTTTTATCTTCATTGGTATTTGAATTCAAATAGACTTTTTTTCATTCTTTTCTCAATTTATAGATAATTTATTTTGATTTCTTTTCCTACATTAACACTGTTAATATGTAGCTTACTATTCGTTGTATTTTTCTAGTGTTACACCAAAATCCTTCAGATGGATCCAAACAATGTCCAGGCTAAACACAATCTGTGTGTGGTGTACGTGGAACGTGGACAACTCACAGTAGGTGAGCATTGTTTAATACAGGCTGCTAGCCTTGCTCCAAAAGAAGAATACATTCAGCGTCACCTTAAAATTGTTCGTGCACGGCTACAAAAAATTCAGTCAAAAAAGGAAGACAGTACTTCAAAAAATAAAGTGAAGTCCTTGAGAAAACTTCAAGACCCAACAATTTCAGAAAGTTCCATCAATAAAAAACCTGTGAGTGCTGAAGCATATCATTCTGATACCGCAAGTCACATCACTTCTGAGTCATAAATTGTTCCTAAATATAACTGGTGTTGTGGTTTGGTAACATCAAGAGTCACCTGTAAATAATAATAAGAAAAAAAAACAGTAATATATGTCACATTGAAGAAAAGCTAGTTTTATGAAAGAGATTTATTTGCTGCCCCCTGGGTAGTTTATTTTGTGTATACTAATGTATTATGATAGAAGGCATGTACGAATTGGTTAAGCCATAATTGTAGCTTCCAGTTTGTGACATGTCAGATAAAAACAAAAAGGTAATCTGAAAAGTTTGATCATAATGTGTTGTATATCCTTCTGGTCAAAGATGAAGGATTGTGATCCACATCTCAAATCCCCATTAAAATTTTATATTCTCTATGACTCCTTGATAAGAAAAGTATGATTTAATTGCAAAATGTTACCTTTTTATTGACCTGCACATGAAACTGATAAAGTGGAAATAGATCTCCATGCGTCTCAATTCAGTTTTAGCATTGAACTGTTGTAGAAAGCATTGTCTGTTTTTAAAAGTAGGTTTTCAGATTTAATTTTGTCAGTGTAAAAGCAGAAATAAGCAGTTTTCAGTTTCATTTAAATAAATGAAGTCTGGAAAATACCCCAAATATGAATCACAAAGATAATAAAGTAAATCTTGATTTTATAATTACATTAATAACACTGGAGTTATAGAACATTTTGAATTGTCCCCACAATCGAGATTATAATACAAATTAACATCAATCCTGTGACAATGTTTACATGACTAGAATGAATTTAAACTTCAATAAACTCTGAATGATAAATAGTGAGAAATGAAATGTTACTACTGATTTAAACAGTAAAAGAGTAAAAAAAGTTAGCTTCAGAAACTTGTTTTCAATTATTTTTTCACGTCTGTGAAAGACGGTTGAAAATCAAATGTTGCGAGTTTTATACATCTGAGCTAGTATAACTGACCAACAGGAAACACACTGTTTAAAAGTACTTCAATAATTACAGTATTCAAAAGAAACATGTCAAATGTATAAAAAATTCCGAACTTCTAAAAAAAATCAGGTTAGAAAATGTTAACTACTTCACTCACAATCGTTATATTTCTCTCAGTTTACGTGAACAACAAGTACACGTATTTGTATTAACATGTATTTATAGAGAACATCATGTAGTAATTTTATATGCATTGTAAACCAATCGAAACTTGAATGTTTTAAATGAAACATGCCTAAAATAGCATATACGATATAGTTTAGACGAATGTTTTATTTGGATTTTGGTAAGAAAATTAAATTCTTAAAAAATATTGTCAACTTCTTTATGTTGTATATTCCACAACCCCGTTAGTATTGATTTATCTTCTCTTTTTTTTTCTCCCTAAAAAGCAAAATTGTAATAATGTATTTCCTGTATGTTATAAAACTGAAAACGTATTGCTGTGTCAATGGTGTAGTTCGTCAGTAAACCTTTTCGTCCTTCAACTCAATTGTGGTTCAAATTCACCGAAACTACAGATCTCAGTGTTTTATTCATGTCATAGAAGTGAATGTTTTACGTTTATCCATTATAACTTTAGAAGATAACCGTAGTACTTTGAATATCGCAGAAGAAATGACCGAAGACGCTGTGATCATTAAGCTGAGATCACCTTTTAAGAGGTGTAAATGTTACCGTGATGAACTTACTTGCAAATGTTTTGTACACATTTCTAAAATAAGAACAAAATTTTATGAAGTAGCTCATATTACAAGAATGTTAATGCATGTGTACGAGTAATCTGTTATATATTTTACTTAATATTATGTACATGGTTTCCTGTAGTAAGAATGTGTGGTTTCTATTAACGGTTTTGTCTCAGTACCTCAGGAAAAAACAATTGAACTATGTGCATAAACCCGTATTTTATTTAATCGTTGTCTTAAATATTATAACTTGAAAAAATATTTATGCTGTGCTGATCAATAAAAAGTGAAATATTTATTTATATGTATTGGTCATTGTGTTTATTGGAATTTCTTTTGTTAATTTAATTTCAGTGTCTCAGGTGAGAAAATTGGGAAGCACGCTCATTCGTGTGAAACAATAATTATAATATTTTTACTAATGTAGAAACCAAAGAATTCTAAAGGTTACGTAACTTGGGCTGGTAGAAAGTTCACTGTTTTAATTTATATACTAAAATATCATTGTAAGTAATATTCAGAAAGTTAAGAACAAAAATCAACTAAAATAATGAAACAAAACAAAGTACTATGTGTGTTTGCTGATATATTTTGAAATTTTATAACTTTTGACGTGGTGAAACGACTTATGGCGAAAAAAAAAGGTCATTACTACTAATATTTTGTTACATTTGATATTTATTTGAACCTTTATTAGGGTTAGTTTCAAGACTTTTGTAATTTTTCGCTTCGGTAAGTTAAATTAAATTCTAAGCATAACGTTCAGACACTACTTAAGACGGTTGAGTATTAAAAAAATGTAAAAGTGGAATGCTTGGGTCAGGTTCACAAATTACTTTCCGAAGCTTCAAACATGGACGATTTTCTAACATTTCAGAACTTTTTAAACTCTTTAAATATTAGGTGTTCAGAAAAGTACTTCCTGTGAAAAGTTTTAATGGAGAGAGAAGGTCTTCATTAGGTTCCTGTCCTCAGTAAAACTTCAAAGCAGAGGTATGAAATATGTTTCAGCTTTTCATATAAATAACAATTTTCCACTTACACCTACACCTTATTTTAAATATTGTCGAAAAGTTATTATAACTGCTGTAAAGTTTAGTTATACAGTTATAACTTTATAAAGTTGCAAAATTGGATAACTATGAGGGGTGTCCGAAAAATTCGTACCCTATCTATAAAGAAAAAGGACTGGTTCAACTATGATTATGTTTATACCCTTATGAAAAAAAAAAACTCTTCTTCTTGGTCCTCCATTCATGACTGGATGGTATGTACAAGATCATCATCACTCTGAAATCTTCGACCTTCGTAAAGAGTTTAAGGTTAGTGAAGAGAAAAAAAAGCCACTTGGAACTAAATCCGGTAAGTAAAGGGGTGATTGAGTAATTATAAGCCAGCATCACGAATAGCAATCAAAGCAACACGTGATTTGTGAGCTGTAGCATTTTCCTAATGAAAGAACACACTTTTTTTCTTTTTTTTTTTTGAGTAATTCCCTTTTCGTTGATTTCTTGACACAAATTATTCATTAGGTTGTATGATAATGTCCTGTAACGGTTTGACCCCTTTCAAATAATCAACTAGTAATACGCCATTGGCATCCCCAAAAATTGATGCCATGACGTCCTTAGCAGAGAGTTATGACTTGAGCTTCTTTGGGGTGGATGAACTTGGGTGTTTCCATTGCAAACTTTGCATTTTTGTATCTTAATTGAAGCGGTGAGCCCACGTTTCATCCGTAGTTACGAATCTATTGAAACCTTTAGAGTATGTGTTGTTCAAAGCCAACACGTACTTCAAAAGATTCATTTCTGCCCAGTTACATTTTTGAAACTCATCTGGCACTTACCTTACTCATGCCCTAACTGTAAAACAAAATGCTTGCTACAGTACTTTTACCGATTCCTACTTCCTCTGCTAACTTCCTAATGGTAATTCTTCTATCATAAACATATCATGAGCTTTATCTACAATATCTGTTGTGGTCGGATCATCTTCACACGACTGTCTACCGCGCTCATCACACCATTTTTGCACTGTTGAATATGCTGGAACATATCTCCTAATGCTGCTTACATGTCCTGGTGGATTTCTAGAGGTATAATTTTCTCTTTAACATAATATTTGATCACGGCAAGAAGTTCGATATTCTTGTATGACGTTTAACACTTCTCACTTCTTTCCTTTAAAAAAAATCCCCAACACAAAATAAACTCGTTCAGTTATATGTTACATGTTATTTATCCAAAAAAAAAAAGTTTTAAACTTAACATTTAGCAGAAAAAATCACCCATTCCATTTTTTCAAGTCGATCCACGAACTTTTCGGACAACTCTTGTATATTGTGTGATACTTCGTTATTCGCATCCACTCTCCTTGGCTTGTCTGTTTTATAATACTTGCTATTAAAAATATTTCTTCATAATCTGAAGTTACCCAGTAGCACAGTGGTATGTCTGCAGACTTACAACGCTAGGAACCGGGTTTCGATATCCGTGATGGGCAGACCACCGATAGCCCACTGTGTAGCTTTGTGCTTAACCTCAAAACAAAAAACAACCATGATCTGAAAACATCTACAAAGAGTTCCATCTCTCGAATAACGCAAATACTTCTTTTTTAAAAACAAATAATCTGGAGATCCTTATTTGAAATGTCCTTAAGTTTTCTGTTGAGAAAAGTATACTTTAACTATATCTGAAAAATCCAAACTCGTGAGAAAAGCAAAACAAGGGAAGGCTAAATATATTAATATTGTTAGATGAACTGGTAAATATCTGCAAATGATTTTTTTTTCTGGTGGATTAGAAAGTATTTCTAAATTTAAAAGTAACACTTTTGTAAGGAACTAATTAACATAAATTCCTGTTTTTAACGCAAATATTTCAAGTGAAAATTGTCAGACTAAGAAAGTTTTGTTTGTGTCAAACCTACACATTGCATTTATATTTGGATTTCAACAGCTCTCATCCAGTAATTTAACGTAAACAATTAAAAGGGTAATATGCGAATTAATCAAATTTTTCATTAAAAACAATAATTTAGATGGCGTATTTCATGTGTTTGATCATTTTATATCATTGGAAATAGGGAAAAAGTACAGTTATTAATCAGATCACAGTTACTTGTATTGTTGGGTTCTAAGTTGACCAAAAAAGTTACTGAAATATTCTATTTCACGTTGAAAATTGTTGTGGGGGAGTTTGTTTGTGTCATGATATAAAATACTGTTTAGTTTAGATATTATTGATTAATTTATTTTTCTGAGTGAATATTTTATTATTGTTTAATTTTTGTTTTAATAAGAGTTAAAAGAAGTTGACTGTAGAAAGCTGTGTTTATAAGTCATTGATGTTGAGACTATCAAATATCGCGTGCAATACATTGATGTGGAGAATATAGAATACAGACAGACAATTAAGTGATAGACATATAAATAGTTTGAGACGAGCGGAAGCAGCAGATAGATAATAGTAAAAAAGAGTAAAGTTACAGGTCTAGGAAAAGTTCGGCGTGAAGATAACTACTGTAGAAGTGATAGACCTAACCTATAATATGTTAGAGTAAGACTAACAGTAGAAAAGGAGAAAAGAAAAATAATTCATTCTGTCAAAGCGTGGTTCTAAAGTGATTGAAACAACCTGAATGCACTTTAGCAAAAGGAACAAGAGATCTTCAGAAGAAAGAAGACCAACCGATTACGGTAACTCGCGCCACAGTTGTAAGTGAATCACACACAGAATACTAGTGCGATAGAAATAGAGAAAATAGTTCGGTTTGTCAACTGAAATTCTAAAGTAATTGAATAGGCCTAAGTTGGACTTTTGACAAGAAGAAGAGAACTATATATATATATATATATATATATATATATATACAGTGTTTATGATATGCCTATAAGTGTGAAGAATTTGTTGTACAAACATTTATCTTGTTCCGAATATTTGTTTGTTTTTGAATTTCGCGCAAAGCTACACGAGGGCTATTTGCGCTAGCCGTCCCCAATTTAGCAGTGTAAGACTAGAGGGAAGGCAGCTAGTCATCACCACCCACTGCCAACTCTTGTGCTACTTTTTTTTCCAACGAATAGTGAAATTGGCCGTCACATTATAACGCCCCCACGGCTGAAAGGGCGAGAATGTTTCCGCAGATTGCGAGTCGAGCTCCGTAACACCTGGCCATGCCGGGCATGTTCCGAATATACATATATATATGAATATTATTTTGAAAACAAGTGAAGTGCATGCTGTTCGTTTATCGTCAACAAGTCACAGAAATCTACTGTAAAAGAATCCTAAGTCCAACAACAACACAGTATATATTCATACTATTAAGAAGTATAAGTAAAAGCCTTTTATTTTGACAACTGGCGAAAGAATTATATTTGAAATTCTGACACAGAACTTAAGAATATATACAGTGATTATTCCTCGTATGCAGTTCTTTCTTCATCTAGTGACTCGACAGCTGTAAAGTTCTATACTCATATCACGTAGAAATTTGTTTCTTTAAGAAATATCCAAAATATGTAGCACTCTGACGTAAGAAATTTTCCCTCTTAAATTTTAATAAAAAAATAAGAGCTCTGAAAAAAAAGTGACATATAAACCAGCTGACAGCTGATCCGCACATTACATGGAAAAATAACTCAATGCATATTTACAGTTTTTGTTTGTCAATGTTCTTGAAAGATGGACATGCATGCAACGTGGTATTCACCATGTTTCTTTTCAGAAAACAAGACATGCCTAATCATGTTTTAAAACGATAAACTGAAGCTCCCCTGGTGCTTAACTAAGTGGCAATATCTAAAAAAATTAGTAACTATCTAAATATTTTCTGTTTGCCTTATGATGTGCTTTTTAAGTTGAGTACCCGAATTCTGATTATATAACTTAGCCGATACTTAGTTATAATTTTTCTCCGTTAAAAACATCCTTTTTATAAATTTTCTCTTTAAAGTTGTTGTTTTAATGCAAAGCTACACAATGAGATGTATGCACTCTTTCCACCGTGGGAAATCGAATCCCGCATTTGAGCGTTGTAAATCTAGAACTTAACGCTGACACACTAGGTTTCTGTTAAATTTTACTAATATCTATCTTTTTTTTTAAAGTTATAACTCTTTGAATACTTTGTTTCCGTTTTGTTTGTTGTTAAGCACAAAGCTACACAATGGGCTATCTGTGCTCTGCTCGCTGCGGGTTTCGAAACCCAATTTTGTAGCATTGTAAGCCATCGGACTTGTCGCTGTACCAGTGGGGGGCAT